CCAGAATTTTGGTGGTAACTTGGAGTCAAACATATAAAGTTCTGGCCGTTTCTTGCATGTGTCTATGCTTTCGCTCAACCAAATCATTTTGCTAAGGTGTATGAGGACATATAAGTTGATTTATGATGCCGTGAGTGGTTAGGAATTCATCAAATTGATGATTTTTGTATTCCCTACCCCCATCAAACACTAGGCATTTGATTTGAGTAATGAATTGTTTTTCAGCGTGTTGTTCAAACATATTAAATTATGTGAGACTTTCAAATTTTTGGATCATGGGAAATAATCATGTGTATCGTGTAGCATCATCAGTGAAAAGGACATAGAATCAATGTTCTTGATTAGAAATGTTTGGGGGAGGCCCCCAAACATCTTAGTGAATAATTTTCAAAGTTTTTAATAAATGATGAAGGAAAACTTACTCTATGCATTTTAGCTGTGGTGCACATGAATTGCAGTGGGGGAGGCCCCCAAACATCTTAGTGAATAATTTTGAAAGGTTTTTAATAAATGATGAAGGAAAACTTAATCTATGCATTTTAGCTGTGGTGCACACGAATTGCAGAAATATACTTTGCTAGGGATACATAATGATGGTTGCTGGTTTGAGATGAGGCGGAGGGTGTCATCGCTGACATGACCCATGCATTGATTCCATACTTCGACTAGAATGGTGGTTGAAATCATGGCGTGCTAAGGAAGAGGAATGGGATAAATTCCATTATGACAAGGATCTTGTAGTGTTTTCCGATCCTTTATTTAATAGACAAAGGAGTCAAAGATGATAGCAAAGTTATTTTCAAAGGCTAATTGAGAAATTGACATGAGATTATGACTTATATGTGGAGTACAGAGAAGCTTGGATAGAATAAGCTTACAGATTGATGCGGGAAGAACATCTTGACCTGAATTTTGAACGGAAATATGGTTTGGTTTTTTGCAGTTTGTTAAAATCAGTTGTCAGATTATTGGATGTTCCCGTATCTTGATACCACTCATGATTGAAGTTGAAGCTGCCATGTGTGTTGTATGATCAGTGGTTTTGTTAGGTTAATAGTTAAGTTTAGACAATGCCACCATTTTCGGGCAATCTGGCCTTGTTTGTTACAGATCTGGCAGATAGCTGGATTTGTATTTCTGCACGCTTCTGTGATGTATCATCATAATGCCTGTAATTGTTGCTGGTGCGACTTATTCCTTTGTAGGTGTTGCGGCCTCTTCCCCTTTGTGAATAAAGAGCAATATAATTATTAGGCTGATGTATATTGACTGATTTATCATTAGATGTGCTGATCTCCTCGCTGTAAAGTAGAGAGTATAGGTCTTCAAGGCTAAGACGTGCAACTGTGGTTTTGTTTGCAATTTTAAATGCTTTATATGCAGGAGGAAGTCCTTTGACGGTATACAAAATGATATCTTCTGTATTTGTGGATGAACCAGATGTTGAAATGTTGTCAACCAAAGTATTGATCTGAGTTAGATAGTGTCATAGTTTGATTCCTCATAGATATATTATGTAGTTCATTTTTTAGTTGAATCACTCTTGACCGATTCATTGCTTGAAGTCATTTTTCTATTGTCTCCCATATATCATAACAGCTTCTGAGATTGATGACATAAGGTAGAATAGTATTTGATATGGTTGAGAGGGTGGAGGCTGCCAAATTCTGATCAATCGACATCCAAGTCCTGTAAGTTGAGTTGGGTAGTACTGTTTCGGTGTTATAGGTTGTGATGGTGGGAGGTTTTGGAAGTGATCCATCTTTGAAGCCAGTAAACCCATTGGCCTTCATCATTTTTAGAACCTGAGATTTCCATGGAGGATAATTGTCTGTGTATAGAGGAGTATTAACTATAGATTTTATATTTTAGATGAGGAACTTTAGAGAAGGTATTGACTATTCCTCAATTTTGTGTGAGGCTAATCCCTCATTGATCACTGATGTATGCTATTAATCTAAGTCTCTGATACCATGAAAAGCAATGCTGAAAACATAAAACAATGAGATAGAGCAGGAAGGAATGCAAGAGAATTAGAGTCGTAGAGAATACCAAATCATAGCTGCATTATCCTTTACATATTCAGCTATAGAAGAATGTGAGTACATCTAGCTATAGATAGGATAGAAGACTCTAGATAGAGTTGGTTACAAGGGCAAAATAGAACTATTATATGGAATGTAGTTAGTTAGGATTTTGTTGAGCTGTCTGTTTTGGTAGTTGTGGTCTCCTTGCTATTACTAGTTATAGGTTTGTTATGAAAAAGGTGTCGGACATTTTTTCATTATTTCAAGTAAGGTTTTTGTTATGTTTCTCTTTGGTTTAAGAATTTCTGCTATCTATATGTTGAATTTTTTATTTTAACTTATTGATGATCTTCTTTCAGATAGCTCGGTACCGTTGATGCTTATGAAATTTGAAAAGCACCTAGGTTCATTGGTGAAATGGAATCCAACAAGACACTATGCATTGTAAGAATCTTTTTAAATTTTTGTTTGTTAACTTTATATTTCTTCTTTTTTTCAACTAAAAAGGTTAATCCCTTGGTGATGGCCTCTTAATTTTTATTAATACAGTAATATAGTTTTTAATTATTTGATATGGAACTAAATTTAATACTCATGTTTTTTTTACAATTTCTTAATCATGTGAGAGTTCTAGATACACCATTACTCATGCTCAAACGACAGCTATCACAGATCTACCATGGGACTTGCATCTTCTTGAATTTTGCTCAACCATAGTAGGAGACACTAACTACATTTAACACTATCTTAAGCTGAATCATTTACTTTAATAACACTTGCGTGTATGGAAAGGGTATCAATGTTGGGCTGGCTGCACTAGGAATCAAATTTTGTTTTTTTCCCCAAAAGCTTGAGACTCTGAATTTGAGCCAACTTGTTCATATATCTATACCAACACTTTTTCTCAACTATCCGATAGATGCTTTTAATTAGTTTTTATGACGAGCATTTTATATTTAATTGAACCCAATCTAATTGTTAGACAAAAGAGACTTCTTAAATTTATCGTTAGCTTACTTTTGATGACAAATGTTGTATTGGTCCTTTAGTTCTTTTGTATAGAGCTTTTATTATTATTATTATTTTTGGATCTCTTATATGATTTTTAATTTACACAAGTTCCTTCATGTGTATAGCTATAATTACACCCA